CATAAAAAAATATTGCATATGGACGTTGTACATAAAGATGACCTAAAGAAATTCATACTATACATATTAAACTACGTAAATATGTTAACATAAAATGTGATAAAGCGCGTTTGTCACAGTTGTTTATCTTACGCGACGGAATAAATATTACAATGTAAATCTAGAATATCTAAATTCATTTATAATTATTAGGTATAATTTCGAATGGCTTTGAGAACATTGAAGTGATGTTTTAAACTTCTTGACTTATCTGCAAAGTGTAATATCCGTTTTACAGGAACTCCAATATTACGTAAAATAGTACAAAAGTGGTGTTCCTCTTCACGGATCCATTGACGATGAAAATCTTGAACTTGGTACGGTGTAACATGAACGTGAACGTCTATGCCTAAAAAGAAATTCATAATCGTTTAACAAACAACTTTTAATGCAATCATTTACTTCGTTCTTATCAGAGGGTAAAAAGTAAAATATAAAATTTGATTTCCTATATAAAGACATTTACGGATTGTTCCAACATACTTAGACAATGAACGGTGACGGTGGGATAAGTATATAAGGATGTTAGTAAGACTGAGCTGCGGGAACGTATAAAATACAATTTTTCTAAAAAGCGGCACGTTGGAACAACTGTTTGAACACTTGTTTAAGGAATGTCAAATGCAGATTGGTAAATAAATCACGGACGAATAATAGAACTAAAACAGCACTAAACGAGTCAAAGAGTAGAAAACAAGATTGAAGCGATGACCTTAAGGGAAATGTGAACAAGGCAGTGAGTAAGGTTTAGTGCAGTGTTCCAAGGCACTTGAAAATGTAGAACTACCTCGAGTAGGTTAATAAAAAAAAATAGGAATATGCGATGAGATAAATACAGAGGGTAATCACTGAAGATAAATATATGAGACGAATTCGGAGAAGTAGATTGTATATAGGAGTTAGAGTAGCAAGAGGAACGTAAGCGGCAAGTAAAAGAGGTCCACAAGAGGAGGTAAAGGCGATACAATGGTAAATAGTGCAGGAGACGTTTTGTTTCGATTTTTATATGGAATGTTCTGTATGTTTTAAACTTGTTTACGTACAATAAAGTTTACTTATAATTAGAGTACAGGCGTTTAAGCATTTGTGGGAATTGTAAATAATTTAATGAAACATGCAAAGAATGAATATTTATATGTATTTCGTTAATTTCATTTGTAAAAATAGAAGTTCGTACAAATAGTTATAATAGTTAACATTAGTATGAAGGTATGGAG